AGAGAAAGATTTTAAGTTAATGTTTGTGTTAAAATCCTAATCCAGAGAAAGATTTTAAGTTAAATGTTTGTGTTAAAATCCTAATCCAGAGAAAGATTTTAAATTAATGTTTGTGTTAAAATCCTAATCCAGAGAAAGATTTTAAGTTAAATGTTTGTGTTAAAATCCTAATCCAGAGAAAGATTTTAAGTTAAATGTTTGTGTTAAAATCCCAATCCAGAGAAAGATTTTCAGTTAAATGTTTGTGTTAAAATCCCAATCCAGAGAAAGATTTTCAGTTAAATGTTTGTGTTAAAATCCCAATCCAGAGAAAGATTTTCAGTTAAATGTTTGTGTTAAAATCCCAATCCAGAGAAAGATTTTCAGTTAAATGTTTGTGTTAAAATCCTAATCCAGAGAAAGATTTTAAGTTACTATATAACCTTTAGGGTGAAAGTAAATATCCTGAGAAGTAGGAATGCATCTCTATGATGTAAAACAAAACAACATAAATGTCATAAGTTAATTTTCAAATTTTGGAAATAAATGCATAGACAGAACATCTGTCAAATATTTCAGGCAATCATCTTTAAAAATGATCATGTTGATGTGAAAAGTAATAAGTCAAATGAACAATAGCAGGTCTGTGTGAGTATCTATAAATAATCATGGCAGTGAAACAGTTAACTTTTATTAGAATATGTGAAATACTTCTTGTGGTAACTGATCAGTGTTAACCCTATCTCACAAACTGTATTATTAAAATAATTATCAGTATGAATTGTTGCATATTTAGTATTTTCAGAGATAAAGTAATTAAATATGTATTAAATATTTGATCTGTCTTCATACTTCTATTTTCTTAATTATTTGTTTTAAAGATGGTTTAAACTATATTGTTTATAAACATGTTTAATAGTCCCCTGATTTTTTTTCTTTTGAGGACGTTCGTCAGTAATTTTGTTTTTCCTAAATATTCACTTTAAAATAATGCTGGTTAAATATTAGACACTTAGATTAATTTTTATTTGCTAGTACTGTGAATATTATCCAGGTTTTGAGAAATGCAAAGACTGGCTTCAGAAAAACCTACCTGAGGAATTTAACAAGAGGTTAGAGTTAGGTAAGTGGAAAGATATCTATTGTTATATTGGGAATTTTATTTCAACGATTGTGCCAGGAAATGTTTAGATTTTTTTTTTTGACATTCTAAAAACACTTATCTCCACCTCTGAATTAGATCGAGTTGATTTTCATAGCACTGAAATATTTATAATGTTTTAATTGTAGTTTTAGAAGCTACGTAGAAAACTGTAATTGTAATTTCCTTAACATCAGATTAAAGCTCCTTAAAAGATAACCTTTGGTTTTTTGTTAGCTGTGGATCTTCGCCACTTTATTCTGCTGTGAAATACAGTTGTTTAGACATCAAAGTACAGTACATTCTATAATGTTTGCTGCCAAGTTCGTTGCGTTTTATTGACGATATTTCAATATCAAGCTCTCACAGGTACCATTGGTATAATTATACTTGAAACCGTCGGTACTTGGTGAAACTCCATAATTACAGAATTGAGGAAAATCAAGACAATTGTACGTTTCACAAATTCGTCATTTATTCACGACCATGGTTTTGCCAAGTACCAAATGATGCCTTTAGTGGCTTATTAGTTTCTTATCCCACTGGACAAGTGAGCCTATTAGTATTCTTTATTATATAGATTACAGCAGGAAAACTTCTAAATATGTTTTCGTACAAAGAGAGAAAAATGGAATAAATAATAAAGATAAATCTTAGAAAATCTGAGTTTTTAAATTTCTTTTGATTCAATCTGATCGTTTGTTTGATGAATGTGTCTGTCACTTGTAGATCAACAAGAAGCTGGCGGAGAGGATGAGAAAAAGAGACAGAAACGAGGAGGGAAAGGCATGGTGAAGACTAAAAAGAAAACGGAAAAAGAAAAACATATTTGTTTATCACGTGCTCCTCGAGGAAAAAAGAAATCTGTAACTGTAGTTTCAGGGCTGAAAACGTTTGGTAAGCATATTACAACATCTAATTGTGGTAATCTTGCCAAAATATGAACTTGTGACAGTTATAAATACACCATTTTGTATTCAATTCGTAATAATATAGCTACGCTAAAAAAAAACGTATAACAAGATTGCAGTGGAGGACTTCATTGTGATTTTTCCTCTCTTTTTCACTTTTAACTTGTAGTAGTAATACAGTGTCTTATCAAGCTTCAGACCACAACTGAGGGATTGTTCTTTTCTAAGTATACATTCCTATTTGATGTTTAATTCCACATGTTTCGAGGATCTTTGAGAAATAAAATTTATTTCCATAACTGACCATATGCATGTTTTCTTTTATTACTACTTTAGACATTGATCTCAAGGAGGCTGCCAAGTTTTTTGCTCACAAGTTTTCCTGTGGCTCGTCTGTAACTGGTGAAGACGAACTTGTGATTCAGGGAGACGTGAAAGATGACCTTTGTGACATCATTATTGAAAAGTGGCCAGAGGTCAGTACTAATTAATACAATAGATAAGCCATTAATATAATTATTTTTTTCTGGTGCATTTAACTTAAAATCTTTCTCTGGATTAGGATTTTAACACAAACATTTTTGTGTCCCATATATATGTGGTAGTTAGGTTATATAGTGTGTCCCATATATATGTGGCAGTGACAGGTTATATAGTGTGTCCCATATATATGTGACAGTTAGGTTATATAGTGTGTCCTATATATATGTGGCAGTGACAGGTTATATAGTGTGTCTCATATATATGTGGTAGTTAGGTTATATAGTGTGTCTCATATATATGTGGTAGTTAGGTTATATAGTGTGTCTCATATATATGTGGCAGTGACAGGTTATATAGTGTGTCTCATATATATGTGGTAGTGACATGTTATATGTTTCGTATTATCAGCCACGTAAAGTGCTTCTACTAACTTATTTAACTCAGTGCTACTACTTGCTACATTAAAATATATCTACAGCCACGTAAAGTGCTTCTACTAACTTAGATAACTCAGTTTTACCACTTGCTACATTAAAAGATATTTGCAGCCACGTAAAGTGCTTCTACTAACTTAGATAACTCAGTTTTACCACTTGCTACATTAAAAGATATTTGCAGCCA